ACATGTTCAGACAGAGAAAGTATGTACATATTGGAACTAACAGAGAATAAACACGTCTGCATAAGTACATCCAGCAGAGAGAGAATGAGTACATACTGGAAATAGTACAAACAAGTCCAAAGAAAGAAAATAAGTACATACCTGAACTAGTAGAAACATGTTCAAAGCAAGAGAAAAAGTACTTATTGGAACTAGTTGAAACATGTTCGCAGAGACAGAATAAGTACATACTAGAAATAGTAGAAACATGCCCAGAGAGAGAGAATATATACATACCGGAACTAGTAGTAACATTTCCGTAGAGAGAGAGAATAAGTACGTACTGGAACTAGTAGAAACATGTCCACAGAGAGAGAATAACTACATACTGGAATTAGCAGAAACATGTCCACAGAGGAAGAATAAGTACATACTGGAACTAGTATAAAGATGTCCGCAAAGAGAGAATAAGTACATGCTGGAACTACCAGAAACATGTCCGCAGAGACAGAATAAGTACATACTGAAACTAGCAGAAACATGTCCAAAGAAATAGAATAAGTACATACTGAAACTAGTACATGTCTAGAAACATGTCTGCAAAGAGAGAGTAAGTGCATACTGGAACTAGTAGAAACATGTCTGCAGAGAGAGAATGAGTACATGCTGGAAATAGTACAAACATGTCCAAAGAAAGAGAATAAGTACATACCTGAACTAGTTCCTAGTTCAGTTCCTATGATTACGTAGGATTTGCAATAAGGATGAAGATTTCAATAGAGAGGTGATGCACATGAGGGATCGCTTTTTAAAGAGAGGTTATCTGGTGCCTATGATAGATTATGTTGTGGGTATAGCTAACAATACTGACAGGAACAACTTATTAAAAACAAAGGAGAGGTAGAATTCCAGGTCCTTGCCTGTTTTCTCCACTGCTTTCAGCCTAGAGTTTGGGAGGATTAAAGGAATCATTGAGCGCTATCTTCCCATCCTTCTGAGTTATGACATATTTGCCCAAATATTGTCCTCGGTACTAAAATTGTTTCCCGACGTACACCAACTTTGGGCAATACTCTGTCCTCTAGCTATTTCTCCTCTAGAACAACTCAGAGAACATGGCTGAGTTTTAAGGGTAACTATAGGTGTGGTATAGACAGCTGTCCCTGTTGCTCTTGTATTAAGAAAGGGGAGGAATTTAGATCTACGGTTAGTGGCAAGGTTTACAGGATCAAGAACTTCATCAACTGTAATATTAAGCATCCAATATATTTGATCAACTGTAGAAGTTAGCAAGTACAATTTGTTGGTAGGACAACTAGAAGGCTACGAGATCTCCTCCATGAATCTGTTTATGACATACAAAAAAATATCATTCTACCAATGTCACTAATCATTTTAACTGTGCTCACAGAGGTGACCTTAGTGCTTTGATCATACAGGGCATTGAGAGGGTGGACAGGTCTCTTAGGGGTGGAGATGGCTTTAGATTGCTGTACAAACGTAAAGTTTTACATTTTTTATATTCTTAATGGTTTGAATTTTGAATGGGATCTTACCCATTTTTATGAGTGACTTCTTTGCCCAGCCATGGCCCCCTCCCTCTCTGATGTGATTATGTTTTACCAGCTTTTTGAACATATGCCTTTATTTGACTACATGAGTTTATTTGGTGCTGATCTTTTTTGATTATTTTCTGTGCCTCTGCCTGTTCCAGTGCTATTGGTCCTTATTATATCTGGAATGGTGAGCATAGGACAGAGACTTTGTCATTGATCTGAGACAATTTTTATAATTTGTATATCTTATTATTTGGGATGGATCCAATATACAAACATTTATACATGATGTGGTGTTTTCTTCATGGTATGTTATTTTTATGTTTCTTCTTCCCATACATTCTTTACAGCTGTATTTTCATTTTTATTTTTGTCATCTCCATTGTGCGATGCGGGAATGGTTGGTGCGTTGGATTTTATAGGTACCAGGGGCATCTCATGGGGCCCCCTACTGGCCCCGGGCCCTCGGGCAGTGCCCGGTTTCCAAATGGTCAGTCCACCCCTGGTCTGTACATGTTTCTGTGCAGGCTGGGGGGGCTAGGGTGAAAATTAAGAACCTGTTGCATTGCCCTGTGTGGTTCACAAAAGTAAATGAATAAAACAAGCAGGCTTCACATGTTTTGCAGATGCAGAGAATTTGTACTCACAAAATTGAGGCTGTGGACATTTACTGATCTGAAAATTGAATGATTTCATGCCATTGGGGAGTAGGCAATTGTTTCAGTAGATTGTTGCAGCGCTTGAGTCACATGGATTGTTACAACATAGATAAGGTGATTTATGCATTGTTGTAGCATGCTCTATGCTGCAATGCAAGAGTCACCTATATCATATAAAATGGTATTCAATTACCTTTGAAAGCAGATCTCAGACCCTGCAGCTCTGGCAGAGCTATGTGCAGGTAGCTGTATGTACAGGTATGCTCTATTTCACAGTGCCTGGAAAGCAGAGCCTGCCCACTCCCCAATGGCATGAAATCATTCAATTTTCTGATCAGTAAATGTCAACAGCCTCAATTTTTGGAGTATGCATCCTCATTTGGTGTTGGCTTTTGGGCAAGTACAAGTTCTCTGCATCTGCATTACATGTGAAACATGTGGCCAACCACTTTTTTGCAGCTTTTATCCATATTACCAGGCAATATTATTCTGTTTGATCATTTTTCTCCCCAACTTCTTTTATTTTCTTCTATCTTCTCTATATCTCTGTTTTCTACTCTTGAAAGTACAATTGTTGAGATAATCGATTGCTCTCATTCAGGTCTCAGAATAACATAAATGATATGTGTCTGCCTTTATGTACCTATTTATTGGGGTTGTTTTACTAAAACGGGAGAGTGAAAAATCTGATGCAGCTGTGCATATTAGCCAATCAGCTTCTAACTTTAGCTTGTTCAATTAGGCTTTTACAAAAAACCTGGAAGCTGTGCAGAGCTGCACCACATTTTGCACTCTCTAGTTTTAATAAATCAACCCCATTGCCTATTACACTTCTGGGATTATTTATGAATCACACTGTGTTTGACTCTGATTTTTTTTTTCATTATTATGTAATTATTTTGAATGAATTCATGATTTTGTGATAATTTTTTTCTGGATAATGCATTAAGCAGATTAATTATGTATTGGGATGAAAAGGTTATTAATTGTACTTTAATAGAATCTACAACATGTTTGATTAACTCTGAGCTTATTTTATTGTCCTTACAATAAAGCTAAATGGCTCCATCTGATATGTTTCTTATTTGTTCCATAAAGGTTTTGTTTTCAGACCAGAGTCTAAATTAGTCCCTTAACCCACAGTAGGGAATATGCTGATTCCATTGTAGATTCTAAATAGTATGTTTGGGGGAATGGGCATATAAATTCTGCAATTTGGAATTATATTTATAGATTAGGGAGGGAATAAAATGCGTATACTGTATATGTATGCTTAATAATACCTGTTTATTCATTGTTATTCTTTTTTAATACTGATGTGTGGTGTTGTACTGGTCATTATTGCAGGGAAGTTGTGTTCATTTTATTATATATTTTTGTCCTCACTTGGGGGCAAGCACTGGGCAAGCTTGAACACAGTACATGAGGTCAGAATTCTTGATCTGCGTGTTAATTACAGCATTAAAATAGATTTGCATGACAACTAAACAACTAGTGTTTTGAGAAGGAAAGGTCCATGAACATAGCCTACATGTCTACATATTTCTCCACACAGGATAATACAGTATTTTGAAGCAGGATATCACAGACTTTCTAGTTAAAAATTGACATAGCATTATAACTGTTCTGAGGAAAAGTGTTCTTCTTTTCTGCAAAAAGGTGGTGTTGACTCTTTATTCATAAATTCTAATACAAACATAATAATTTCATCCAAATGTGTTAAAGAACATGAGGCTTGGCAGATATATATTAATGGTACCATGTTCAGACTAGTAATATGGGGCAGTTGGCAAGCGTATCTTATCATAAAGTTTCAAAACAGCCAAGAAAATATAGCCATATAAGCCAGGTATCGTTTTGAAGTAGCTCTAGATGGTGAATTAGAGCAGTAAAGGTTGACCCCACCAATCCTTGACAAGGGCCAGAATTGATCCTGCCAGTGCGATTTTAATGTGTGCTCAAGGCATTTGAAATACTGACCTTCTAGACAGAATGGGTTTCTGGAATTCAGAGGCAGATATAATTGTGGTAATCACTGTAACCTCAAGTTTGGTGGCATACCTCAAGGGCCACCTGAGAACTGACTGGTCATGCAAGTCACACCGTGGATCTGGTTTTGTGTTGCATTCCATAATTATATCAGATGTGAACTGCTGCTGTGAGTAAACCAATTATTTGAAGAAAAACACTGTTGTCACTTGTTTCAGAATCTCATTTTTTTTAAATAAACAACAAAAAGTTAGTATATATTGCCTAACTATCTCTACAAAGCTCAGAAGCAGGGGCAGACTGACCATTTGGAAACTTGGGCACTGCCCAAGGGCTCGGGGTCAGAAAGGGGCCCCATGAGATGCCCCTGGTACCCTTTTCATAGGCTTTTTTGAGTTTGGGCAAGGACACAGAGGCCTCATGATCCCCTATTGCCTGGGGGGCACCATGAGTTGTCAGTCCGCCCCTGCTCAGAAGTTATACATAGAAGGCATGGCAGAAATTGAAGTGAGAGAGTTCATCAAGGAGGAGTGCAACAAAAATAATGTTGTCCTAGAAATAAATTCATATAAAACCTGAATATAGTTCTGTAATATTTATAAGATGTCTTCAATAACGGTATATTTTTCAGTGTACAAATCTTTGGGGGTACATGACATAAACTGACTCTCTCTGGCGGGTTGGGTTGGAAAATCTATAGTATATTAAAATTGATTATTTTTCCATACTACATTTAGGAAACGTTGAAATAAATTATTCAATAATTTCCATGTTTTTAAGTTTCATATAAGAACTGCTATTAATTCATTTTTTCCAGATTATTTTAAACTCAATGCACAAATACCAGCCCAGGTTGCATATTGTTAAAGCAGATGAAAACAATGCCTTTGGATCCAAAAACACAGCATTCTGTACACATGTATTTTCAGAGACAGCATTTATATCTGTGACCTCTTATCAGAATCACAAGGTGAGTCACTGTAACCCTTTACAACTGTTCTCACTGAAAGTAAATCCTTAAGCTAAAGTGTAACTACATTTTTATAGATTTAGGTAAAATGGTGAGTGGTTAGAACCACTGCCAGGTTTGTATTACTGTCTATAATTGCCCTGATCATAAGTATCTTGGGAACAAAAGTGAGGGTAAATCAGGTGCCAAGCATGCACTATACTGGTATTGCCATATACCCATCTCTGCCCCAGCTGGGGTGTTTAGAATAGGTAATAAAATTGGAGACTAAGCCCACAAAAAAGCGATCTTCAGAGAGATATCTGTAGGCACATTCATCACTTAAGGACATAAGGACACTATTTATTTATTATTTATTACAGGTACTTATATAGCGCCATCAATTTACGCAGCGCTTTACATATATATTGTACATTCACATCAGTCCCTAACCCTCAAGGGGCGTACAATCTAAGGTAGAAACTGAGGTGGGAGGGGTTAAGCCTGGGCAGGATATTCCTGTCCTTTTTGGTCAGTGTCTATTCACTGTAAGGTGGCAATATAACACAAGTAGTTATGAATATGAAGTGCCCTGTGATGTGCAATTAAGAAAAAAAGCAGAGCAATTTCAACCCTTTCATATCCAAAATTAAATATAAAAAAGTTTTGGCTTTGGATATATTTGAACCATTTTACATTTTCTTCTGTTGCAAGAAAATATGTATCCTTGCCCAGGTTTGTGTTTTATGTGTATTTGTAATTATGTGCAATAATAGTATATTATAATATCATGTGTACTGCACTATTATTTCTTTGCCACAAATCAAAATTCATGAAAAAGCAAATTCACAATTTAGCTAAAACTTAGCACTTACTATGGTAAGTAGCACACATTTATGTTGTACCCTGATCTTAAATAAGATGTGTTTTCTAAATTCCACAATTACCCTATACAAATATTAAATTGAAACATTTCAAAAATAATACCCTTTGGGATATTGCTTAATGAATCAGCTAACTCATAAACCTTGAGATGTCATTCAAACAGAACAGCAAATCTAATAATGACGAGAAAATCTTGCTCATAAATCTAAGGTGAAAACTTATTACCGCACGTGTATTTGCTGAGACGTTATGAACACAGTGACCATAAAACTTAGTGGTTTACAGCTGTATCAAATCCAAGCGGAGATGTGAGCTAGTGCACTACTACAGAAAAACTGCTACATAAGTATGGTCCACATACACATCTTCAAGTGATTGTTAGGCTGATAGCATAGAATCTAAAGTTAGTCATACACTGGTAGATTTTTGTATGAATGTTTGTGCAAAGAATCCCATCAGTGCATTCGATAACACCACCAGTGACTTGACAAAAGTACTTCAAAATTTCAAAACTACGTCACAATTTCATTTGCTTTTAAAATTCAATTTTGAGTGGAATTTCCCAAATGAAAACTATAATAAACTATAACACCAAAGAGATACCAAATACTCCTTCAAAATATAAAAATCATAAGTAGGCGGTGCAGCGCTGGAGCAATAGCAATATATAACAAAGAGATGACAATCATAAAGGTAATTCACCATATATCAAAGTATAGGCCAATTACATATAAATTAAAGAGTGTTAATACAAAGTGACAATGTGCATTCAGGTATACATAAAACTCATATTAAAGTGATCACAGGTGCGTATAGGTGAAAACGTCCTTTTATAAACGTGAAACTCATAATCCAGGTGATCATGCAGAATTCTTCTGGTGTGACACAAATGATAAAATCACGCACTCACCAGATGCGCAATTATATAGCGCATGAAAAGATATATATCTCATGAAGTCAGCTGGATCACCATGGAAAGCACCAATCCCAAGATAAGGAACCGCTCCTGGATCATCACTGGCACCTTACACACCTCGTACGGATGGATAAGCTGTGGGTAGTGGGACTCAAAACAAGAGCCCCCCAAAAAAGGATGCCAGGATAGAGTAGTACTGCTAATAATTTTATTTGCATAAAGCACAACAAAGTATATATGACAGCAGTACTGACCATGCCAAAGAAATCCAATAGAATCACTAAACCCACATGGGCCTCGGTAGTATGGTGTCGGGACGCTGCAGCTCTACTCTGACGCGTTTCGTGTGCAAACACGTAGTCATAGGGACCTGCCTATGCTGATCACATGATCAAGAACCACACAAACTGGTTCCTAGTTTTTTCTCTGGGACCTGGAGATGCAAGTTTCACCCTAGGGCTAAGTGTTTTGCAAACTGAGAAAATTTGCTACAGCAGTAAAACTTCCCTGTTTTAAAGTGGTCATCTTGTTTGGCCAGTCATGGTGATCACATGGTTAGGAACCACACAAAATGGTTCTTGATCTCTCTCACAGTTTCTCCAGTGGCAGATATGTTAATTTACATTTTCCTGACGTGGGGAGCTTTCCAGAAGAATGTTAATCTACCGATTGCAAGCAGGAAGGCTTTATAGGTTTTATAACCTCTACTTAGAATGTGAAAAAAAAAAAATCATTGGCATCTTGCACTGCTAACCAGCAGATGTTGTACCACTCATACCTCACCCTTCAGCTATTAAAGACACTGCAAAGCACATCAGAGGCCAGTACCATGCTTTTTTTTTTCAGTGTGGAATCACTTGATCCTGGAAACCCATTTGCTTCCAATAAGTTTATATGGCTGGAGTGTCTTATAAAATCCTGTGAGCAATGTCAGCTTCAAAATTATTCTAGCCTCACTGGCAGAGATACAGTATGAACACCAGTCAGCAGCTGGGAGATTGCCAACGGGTTTTTCACTTTTTACATGAAAGTAGAAACTATCTTTGGTGGTTGAGACATCATATTTTATGGCTGATTAACATGTTTATAGCTGACAGCAGATTTTAACAACATATAAACAAATGATAATTTGTGGAAAGAGTTTGAACAAAAGTCTAAGTAGTAACAAATGAGTACTCCTCCCATCAGAACAATGCAGTTTCCAAATCTAGGGTTGGTTCACTAGAATATCACTACCTATATCCATTGTTATTCAAGGACCTAAAATCAGCAGAACTGGTCACTGAATTTGTATTAATATGACATGTCATGTCAAAATGGTTAGGGTTCTTCTCATTTTCATTTGCACGCATTTTAAACAATGGTATTTACTTCACACATTGTTTTTAGATTACCCAGTTGAAAATTGAAAATAATCCATTTGCCAAAGGCTTCAGGGGAAGTGATGATAGTGACCTCCGTGTGGCTCGCCTGCAAAGGTAAAAATATATATATATTGTATTTGTTAATTGAAAAACTCTTTTACCAATTTATTGATTGTAGTCATATAACTTCATCCTTTACGGAGAGAACAGAGCCAACAGCGCACAAAAACTCTCTAGTGCAAATAAAAAAAAGAACAATTTACTTTTTATATTTTATATTCAAGAGGAAACGTGAAAGTAAATATGAATAGAATATAAAAACTCCATACAGAATATCATTCCTCATCATAATTAAATCTAAAAGCTTAAAGCGGAGTTCCACTCAACCTATCAAAAAATAAAAGTCAGCAGCTACAAAAACTGTAGCTTCTGACTTTTAAAAAACAGCCACTTACCTGTCCCTCGGTCCCGTGGTGTGTCCCCCGCAGCTCGTTTCACCAGCTGTCCTTTATTGCAGGAGGCCAGCATTCTCAGTGTGGGCATTCGGCTTCACAGCTGGGTACCCACTGCACATGCGCGAGTAGCGCTGCGCTTCGTGAATGGTCCTGTAGTCTCTGAGACCTGTCATGTGTCCCAAAAGACTACAGGGAGGGAGGAAACCTTCCGCTTCCAATCGCCTACTCCGATCAGACCGGCAGTGGGAGCGGGTACCTGTCAAATTCAGGTGCCCCCCCCCACTCCCCAAAGGTACCAATCCTTAAAGCGTAACTTCCCCTTTTGAGTGGAGCTCTTCTTTAATGATACTAGAAAATAGATTGTGCTAAAACATTAATAGAACTGCACAAAAATTGAACATATTTGCTGTATGAATAGATTCTGCTCCTGTGGTATAGGAGTGCTGCACCTTTTGGCAATTTTTATAATAATATATGTGTTGTAGTTCAGTTCTGAAAGCTGCTCTCCAACAATCATGGGGTCTTGCTGGATCTTCAGAAGAGAATACTAAGATTGAAGAGATGGGAGCTCCAAACTAGGTTATATAGACAATAAAATATTTTATTCTGCAACAAACCCAACACGTTTCAGGAGGTCAACATTTCCCCTTCATTAGAACTTGTAGAGTAATAGCCATAGAATGAGGGAAACTGTACTGGTCTGTGAGTTGGAACCCAAGTAAGCATGTTCTTCCACTTACCTTTCCAAGAGAGCCTGATCCCACTGCTTCTCAGTTTGAGGAGCATTTTATTTAGGCTTGCTGATAAAGGAAAGTGAGAAGGACAGGCTTTCTTAATTTACAAAGTACAGTCCAGGACGTTATCGCTCATCCTATGTTTATTTCTAATGATGCACCGATATAACAGCTGCCAAAAATTATTGGCTGAAAATAGGGTTATCAGCGGTTTCCCAATTGGGAAAAAAAGTGCCAATAATGATAATTGATTTCAATGCAAAATAACATCCTATTGACTTCAATGCAAAATTGTGTCTCATTAATTTTAATGCAAAGTCGTGTCCCATTGACTTTAAAGCAAAAACGCCTCCTATTGACTTCAATGCAAAATCACGTATTATTAACTTTAAAGCTGTCAGGGATCACGGCGCTGGAATCCTGCATCACGGCGCCGTCCCCCCGCGCATGCGCACTGGCGGCGAGCCGCGGCTGACAGGACGCCGCGCATGCGCAGTAGAGAGTCGAGGGCGCGCCTCAGGCGTCCAATGACAGCCGGGGGCGCGTCCCAGCCAGCCAATGACAGTGCAGGGCGCATTATTTAAAGTTGCCCTGCACTGTCACCCATTGCCGCAAGGTCTTATGTGATCCTGGATACCTGCTCCTGTTCTGTGACCCTGTTTTCGACCCTGACTATGCTGCCTGCCCCTGTGTTTGACCCGGCTTGTCCTGACTACTCTGCCTGCTCCTGCGTTTTGACTCGGATATCCTGACTATTCTACGGACTGATTTACCTGGCTGACCCTGCATGTGACCTGAATACTCCTTGCCCGCTGATTTGGTACCCCGCTTACCCCCCACGGAACCACTATCCGTGCCACCCTGCTGGGGCCGCCATCCGCCTCATATCTGGCTCTCCCGGTACCTACACGCATCCCCGGAGGCCTTCCCAGCCGCTGGTGGGCCCGCCCAGAGGTCGTGACCTGGCCCGGGACTGTTTCAAGTCCATCCCCACCATCAGGGGCCCTGGTGAAGGCACAGCCCGGGCTTAGACCCCACGCTCTGGGTTGGTCTATCGGTTGGCAGCCGGAAGGCTCCGCCTGGCGGATCATAACAGTACCTTGCGGCCATGACAGAGCCAGGAGGTGGACCGGCGTCCCTAGAGGATATTTGCCAGCACCTGGCAACTTTGACCCAGGCCTTCCAGAACTTCCACAGTCGCTGCGCCCGACTGGAAGACCGCATGGAGACATTAGCCCCCCAGACTCCCCCTGCTCAGAGTCCCCCGTCTGTGGAACCTCCCGCTACCCCGACATCCGGAGCGGTTGCCACACCCTTAGCTCCTGAGCCCCGCGTTCCCCTGCCGGAACGGTTCCGTGGTGACCGGAGCCGCTTCCGAGCCTTCCGGAATGCTTGCACACTATATTTTGACTTGCAGCCCCGCACATTCTCCTCCGAGACCGTCAGGGTGGGGTTTATAGTCTCTCTCCTTCAGGATGAGCCCCAGGATTGGGCTCACCGTCTGATGGAGAGGCGTGACCCCCAGCTTGACTCCGTGACCAAGTTCTTTCAGGCCATGGCAGTATTGTATGACGACCCTCAGCGGGCTGCCTCCGCAGAGGCTACCCTATACTCTCTGCGGCAAGGCCGCCGGGCAGCCGAAGAATACGCGTCCGACTTTAGGCGATGCATGGGAGACACCAGATGGAACGATGCGGCCTTATGTCACCAGTTCCGGGCTGTCTGAGTCTCTCAAGGACGAACTAGCACGAGTAGGCCTACCAGACTCCCTGGAAAGACTGATTGAGTTGGCCATCCAGATTGACCGTAGGTTAAGGGAACGTCGGCTGGAAAGGAGCAGCCAGGGTCAAAGGGTGGCATGGATCCCACCGAGGGACACAGCTCCAACCCCAGGGAACCATCCCCGAGGCACGGAATCGGGGGACAACCCGGAACCCATGCAGCTGGGACTGGCCCGTTCCCACTTGTCGGTCGAGGAACGTCAAAGGAGACGATCGCTGAACCTATGCCTGTACTGCGGGGAAGCTGGTCACCAGGTGCGCTCCTGTCCTGCAAAGATGAGTAAGTCCGCTTCCTTTTCCTTTACCTTACCCGCAGGAAGGGATGATCAGTCCAATTACCTGGCCATACCTGTGTCTTTGCAGCTCCCGGGAAGAACACTATCGGTGACCGCAATCGTTGACTCTGGAGCTTGTAGTTGCTTTGTCGACCTGACTTTTGCCCACCGGCAAAAAATACCACTGCAGACCAAAGAAAGGGGGTTCAACATCTTCTTGGCAGACGGCTCCAGTATAAAATCAGGGGTGGTGGACCAGGAGACACCACCCATTTTTACCCACAATAGCAGACCATCAGGAGTTCCTCCGTTTGGATGCCATCGCATCACCCCTATTTCCAGTCATTCTGGGGCTCCCTTGGCTGCGGGCCCATAACCCCCAGGTTGACTGGGAAAGGGGGACGATTTAATTTAGGTCACCCTACTGTTTAAATCACTGCCAGGTCACGGGATCCGTGGGTCCCCGGTTCCTCCTGTGCTTGGACGGTGATGCCAATCTATCCCAGACTATTCCCCCGCCTACCATGACTTCTTGGACGTTTTCAGTAAGCGAGGGGCTGACGTTCTTCCCCCACACCGTTCTTACGATTGTCCTATAGACCTCCTACCCGGATCTGAGATCTCGTTCGGCCGGATCTTTCCCTTGTCAGAAACGGAATCGGGTGTACTGAGGGAATATATTGACGAGAACCTGCGGAAGGGGTTTATTCGTCCTTCCACATCCCCAGCCGGGGCCGGGCTGTTCTTCGTAGAGAAGAAGGACAAATCGTTACGGCCCTGCATAGACTACCGTGATCTAAACAAGATAACGGTAAAGAACCGTTATCCCTTACCGTTAGTCCCCGAGCTCCTCCAGAGATTAAAATCGGCAATGATATTCACTAAACTAGACCTGCGGGGGGCCTATAACCTTGTCCGTATCAGGGAGGGGGATGAGTGGAAGATGGCCTTCCGTACGAGATTCGGTCACTACGAATATCTAGTGATGCCATTCGGGCTCTGTAATGCACCGGCAACCTTCCAGCATTTCATCAACAATGTTTTTCGTGATTTCCTCGATGTCTTTGTAGTAGTTTATTTGGATGACATCCTAATTTTCTCCCCTTCACTGGAGGTTCATCGAGGTCACGTAGTACGGGTATTAGAACGGTTGCGTCAACACGGGCTATACGCCAAGGCAGAAAAGTGCTGTTTCGAACAGAGCGAAATCACGTTCTTGGGACTGGTTCTCTCTTCCGCGGGGGTCGCGATGGATCCCCAGAAAGTCACGGCGATCTTAGATTGGCCAATACCCGCCGACAAAAAGGGGGTACAGCGTTTGATCGGCTTTTCCAATTTTTATAGAAAGTTTGTTAGGAACTTCTCCGTCTGGTCTCCCCGATCACGCAACTGACGAAACAAGGGGTCCGTTTTAAGTGGACTTCCGAAGCCCAGACGGCATTCGAGAAGCTCAAAAAATTATTCACGTCTGCGCCCATCCTCTGCCATCCGGATACTTCCCTCCCATATGTCTTGGAAGTGGATGCCTCTGAGAACGCGGTAGGAGCGGTTCTGTCCCAAAGAAATGGAACCAAGGAACTACTGCACCCCGTGGCGTTCTTCTCCAGGAAGTTGACGCCGGCTGAACGTAACTATGACATTGGAGATCGGGAGCTCCTGGCCATCAAATCCGCTTTAGAAGAATGGAGGTACTTACTGGAAGGAGCCACACACCCAATCCTAGTCTTCACAGATCACAAGAACCTGGAATATTTAAGAACCGCGAAACGACTGAGACCTCGCCAGGCAAGATGGGCTCTTTTCTTCTCGCGATTCACTCTCCATATTACGTACCGACCCGGTACTAAGAACACAAAACCAGACGCTCTG